GTGAGTTTTTGGCATCTGGTAAACTGGGAGTTCTCTTTCACAATCCGCAACATGAGTCCCGAGATAACAAGCAGGGACAGCTTACCAGCTTTACTGGCTTCTTTTTTTCACTCACTTGGGACACAGGCTAAAACACAAGCTGCCCCAAAGAGCACCAACTAGCTGAGAGGGGCAAAATCCCTGCTGTGGGAACCAAAGTAGGAGGAGGCCTTGTGTGGGTGAGGCTGTTCAGTAAAGCTAGAGTTTTGCAAATGATAAGACAGGACACTGACACAGAATGAAAATGCAAGGTTGCAAATCCTGTCAGAGGGAGCTGGAAAGGGGAACTGTACCATGAATGGGGGTGGAGGTGGGGGGAGGAGAGATTCTGAAAAGGCAGTGCTGGTGGCTTTATAATTTGCTGCTTGGCTTCTGCTTTCGGCATCTACTGTGACCAGATGGTGTGCAGTGATCTCTCTGGCCAACTGAGCCAAGCAGGGAGTAAAACCTCCCCAGTCTTTGCAAACTATAAGCTATGTCTGGGGGGTTGACCTGTAGCAATTAGCAATTTCTCTCTCACACACACAAATCTTATCTTTAATCCCTCAGTGAACTATATTGACATCCTGGTCAAACATCGACCTAGGATTTTGTTCCCAAACCCCTAAGGCACCCTACCTCCCCCCACACCATGTACCTACGAGATATCCTGAAATGTTTAAATGTTTTCTAATAAATAGCTGGCCTTTTATATCCTCAGTAATTCTCCAACTCAAGGAACCATCGTCTTCCTTTTTTTTTTTTTTTTTTTTTTGGTGAGGAAGATTAGCCCTGAGCTAACATCCGTTGCCAACCTTTTCTTTTTGCTTGAGGAAGATTGTCCCTGAGCTAACATCTGTGCCAAACTTCCTCCATTTTTTTGTATGTGGGATGCCACCACAGCATGACTTGATGAGCAGTGTATAGGTCTGCACCCAGGATCCAAATCGGCAAACCCTGGGCCACCAAAACAGAGTGAACCTAACCACTACACCACCAGGCTGGCCCCAGAACCATCTCATTTTTAAAATGGGGAAAAAGCATGAATTCCTTTCTCCCTGTGCTGTCTGGAAATATTTTTTATGATAATTACATTATTTAAATAACAAATTATTATAAAAGTATAAATCTATAAATGTCCTTATGCTTATAGCTTTTGTATAGCTATCAAATCACACAGTTATAAATTAAACACCAAGAAAACTACTACAGTTAATAAAATCAAAATAACGTCAATACGTAATGTGACGGGTTCTATTTGGATGAAATAAAATCACCTGCAACGTGAATATGGTAGTGAGAGGTACAGGGTGAGTTCTTTTGCACTGGGCATGCTGCACTGTCATTTGCTGAGCTATAATTTGATCCTCCCACAATCTTCCTTTTCCTTGATTTCTTCATTCCACCATGGTGTCATGTGACGGTCACTTGGGGCTAATGCATTGTTTTCATATTGTTTGCTTCTGTTAATGTTTCATTAGCTCATTACAACTTGGCACTTTGGTATCAACATAAACAAGCACAAATGAACCCATGGTACTAAAACTGTGTTATCAGAGGATCATACAGATGATCTAGGACTACACTGTCCAATATGGTAGCCACCAGCCATACATGGCTACTGAGCACTTGAAATGTGTCTAGTCTGAATAAGCTGTGCTGTAGATGTAAAATATACTCACATGATATTTTGATGACTTAGAATGAAAAAGCAGTAAAATATCTCATTAAAAAACTTAAAATTGATTCCATGTTAAAATCACATTATTTTGGACATATTAGGTTAAGTAAAATATATTAACATTAATTCCACCATTTTTGTTTTTGTTTATTTTTGCTTTTTAAAATACATATATATTCTAGAAAATTTTAAATTACACATGTGGCTCACATTATATTTCTATTAGACTACACAGTCTAGAATAATTGTATGTGTGTGTGAGAGAGAAAGTGTGTACAACAAACTGAAAATACCCTATAAAAAAATTCTCGTAGAAAACACACGGGTATCCAAGACATATAGATCTAGTTTTGAGTTTCAACCACTGCTCTAGCATTTAATGTCTGTGTTCTTTCTCAGAAGCCAAGGGTACAGAACCAGAATAGGACTTTCCTCATGGCTCTCATTCCAATATCTTAGTGATATATCTCTGTGGTTTTCTCACGTGGTTTCCCTGTAACAGCGTTTGGGGGAAAGATCCAAGCACTTTCATCCCTCCCAGAAAATGTGTACTGTCATATCTGGTCATTTCACTGCCACTTGATCAAAAGATTGCTCTCCACAGAGGTAAAGGACTAAAAAAAAAAAAGTGAGAATGTATTCTCTGGGCAAACAGATGCAACTATTCCCTAGCTACATGAAAGCTACTGAAATCAGGGACCGCATGGGTTAAAAAATTGGTCTAAAATAATATTTAGCCAAATATCCTATTGCATTCATTTAGCAACTATTTGCTGAATATCTGCCTTGATACAAAGCCCCCCAGTAGGCATATGTGAAATACAAAGATAAAAACACCAGGAATTTGCTTTCAGGAAGGTGGTCATCTAATAGAAGCGATAAGACATGTCAAAATTTCTTCCTTTTTGCATAGCAAATGTTAATTGAGTATATCTATGTTCCAAGAACTGTCTGAGTTCTATACTTTAACTCATTTAATCCTTACAATCCTAGGAGATTGTCTCCCATTTTACAGATGAGAAAACTGAGGCAAAAGATTATGAAAATACTCAGGGTCATGTGGTCATTAAGTAGCATCGGTAGGGTTCAAACCCAGACAGTCATCTCCAAAACATGAGCTTTTTAGTCACTATTCAATATTGTTTTTCTTAAAAAAAAAGTTAAGAAATAATATTAGTATTTACTTATTAAAGAAACATTAGAATAGGAAAAGTGAAAAGAACACAAATCCTCAAATTCCTACCCCTAACACAACAGCTGTTTAATATGTAAATACAACTTTTTAACTCGAACTATAGTTATATATTGTAAGAAAGATATAGATAAAGGGCTACAAGGGTTCAGAGGATGGCAAGAGGAATTCTTGCTGGATCTTGAAGGACAAAGTATGACATGGATATTGGGGCATTCCAGGCAGAAAGAATCACAAGAACAGAGCGTGGACTCAAGGAGGCCCAGGGCTTACTGGGGAAACAGCAAAGAGTTGTTTGATGGAGCATCACCTTGAGCAATGAAGCTAGAAAATGAGTCAAGGCCAAGTCATAAAAAGTCTGGAATTCCTCTGCTTTTCATCTTATCAGTACTGGTAATACTGCATTGATTACCATTTATTCCTGTATTAATCTCCTCTATTATACTGGGAGTTCCAGTCTAATCCTTATTCATTCAATGGGCATCTATTGAGTAGTTTCTGTGTGCCAGGCACTGTGCTGAGCACTGGGGATGACAAATGATCAGGCTGTGTCTCTGACCCCAAAGGAATTCACATTCTAGTAGGGAGAAAAATGTAAGACAGTTCTGACAGAAATATGAAGAATGTGGCTTTCTGTCATTTGCTATCAAAAAAGCCTGGCTAAAGGAGACTATTCCTGACCTATCTGGCCATGAGCTCCCTTTTTCTGTGCCCCCATTCCCACCTTATAGAAGCTGGATCACAGGGAGGAACAAAGATTCTTGAAAAATAAAATCACTGTGATCAATTGAGGAGTCTGGTAGGATGGGCCAGACAGAACTAAGTGGCAAGGAAGATAATGACTGAAAAATGCCCATGGAATTTAAATATTAAGACACTAGGGAGCTTGGTGAGAAAAGTTTCTGTGGGAGGGTGGGTGGAGTACAGAATCTGGACTGACAGGTGTTGAGGAACAAAGGGATGGTGATGTCGTAGAGACAGTGAATGGAGACTGTTATTGGGCCAGAATCTCTTTTTGAGTTGTTCAATCATCCTTTGGGGGCCTGAGGCAACTCTAAAGGATGATGAAAATAAATCTGTTTCAAATGGCCAATACGCACATGAAAAGATGCTTAACATCAGCCAACAGGGGAATGCAAATCAAAATCACCATGAGATACTTCACACCCACTAGGATGACTACAATCAAAAAGACAGATAACAACAAATGCTATTGAGGATTTGAAAATATTAGAAGCGTCAGACATTTGCTGGCGGGAATGTAAAATGGTGTAGCCAATTTGGAAAACAATCTGGCAGTTCCTTAAAAAGTTAAACATATAGTTACTGTATGACCTAGCCACTCCTAGTGGACACTTTTGTCCACACAAAAACTGCTACAGGAATGTTCATAGCAGCTTTATTCACAACATCAAAAAGTGGAAACAACCCAAATGTCCAACAGATGAATGGATAAACAAAATATGGTATATTCATACAGTGGAATATTATTCATCCATAAAAAAGAATGAAGTACTGATACCCACCACAACAGGGATGAACCTTCAATACATTATGCTAAATAAAAGAAGCCAAGTCACAAAAGACCACATATTTTATGATTCCATTTATATGAAATGCCCAGATTAGGCAAATCCATATAGCAAAAAGGTAAACTAGTTGTTGCCAGGGGTTGGGAGAAGGGAGGAATGGGCAGTAACTGCTAATTGGGACTGGTTTCTTCTTGGGGTGATGAAAATATTCTGGAATTAGAGCTGATGGTTACACAACTCTGTGAATATCCAAAAAACCCCACGAGTGTACATTTTAAAGGGTGAATTTTACGCTGTGTGAATTATATCTTCATTTAAAAATCGCAGCGCTCACACATAGACCCCGCCATCCACTGAGCAGGAACTGCACCCAGCAGCAACAAGTCGTACCAAGCACAAGACCAGGCACTTTCCCCGGCCCAGGCCCCCGAGGCCACCACGCCTCCGCGAGAAGGAAGTCCCGATCCGGAGGCTGCTGATTGGCTGAGCTGCGGGAGTGGGCGGGGCTGATGGGGGCTCGTCGAGTCCCTCTCGGTGAGGCGGGGCAGAGCGAAGCCTTCACTCGCGAGATTTTGCTGGTTCCGCATTTCGGCTCGGCGAGGTGGGGGAGGCGGGCGAGGCGGGCGCAGCGGCTCGCACTGGCTTGCACCGGCTCGACCCCCGGCTCGAAGCAGTGGCGGCCCGTGCTTCGGCTGTCCGCGAGCTGAGGACGGTCGCGCTCTCTCGGTTCCCGCGCCGGCTCCGTCTTTTGACCGCGGCGGGGGCCAGGGGCCCCTCCGCTCCCCGTTGAGGATAGAAGATGAGCTTCCTCTTGTGAGTGTGCCCCGCTGAGGGCTGAGGGCCGAGGTCAGGGGAGGGGGCGAACGGGCGCCTGAGGCGAGGACCGGCGCCCGGGGTCGGGGTCGGGGTGGCCGGCCGGCGATTGCTTTGCCGCCTGGCGGGGCCATGAGGGAGACCGGGACGTGGGCGGAGGCAGACGGAGATGAAGCTCGAGGCAAAGGAAGCGGAGCGAGAAGGTTGGGGAGCAGAAAGGCCCCGGGGCCGGCGGCGCCTCGGAACTTTTCCGCCTGAGCGCCCCCGAGGGCGGAGGGCGGGGGGGACGATCGGGGGCGGAGCCGCGGGCTGCGCCGAGGGCTCCGGGTTTCTCTCGTTTTGAGCCTCCCAGTAACGATCCACGCTGACTTCGCTTTTTCCTCCCCCGTTTGTCCGGTTTTATTATCGTCAGTATTAAGTTCCCCCCCGGAAAAAGGCCGCCCCAGGAAGATGTGGAGTGCGGCCGTTTGAGAAGCTTGCGGTCTAGCTGCGGGCCTTGCAGGCACACCGCTCTGTGCGTGTGATTCAGCCCACTTTGTGACTTTTTGTAATCAACTTCTCCTCGGTAGAATCCTGTTTTAGAGATAACGCCTGGGCCCAAATAAGGCTTACATGGAAAAGTTGGTAAACTCTCTGATGATTCTTAAGTTCGTTAAGGTTTGAGGAGCGTTGCTCTGGCGCCTTATTATTCTCAGGTGGCTCTCTCTGCTCGCTATATTGCTTAAATGTGTGTGATGTGGTTGACTAAAGATCCATTTTTAGTTATGGACATCACCCACATACTTGGCATTTTTATTAAATTTCCTAGTGTTTCATAACCAGCGTATATCTGTCTACCCAGTTACATATTGTGAGAAATTTGGATTCTTTCCAGTATTTTGCTATTCTCAAATAGCACTTCTAGGAATATCTTTGTCCAAACCACTTTTTCCCTCCTTTGGATTATTTTCCTAAAGGTGTGATCTCCAAAGGATGATTACGGTGTCAAAAAGTCTGTATGATTTAGATTTTAGTTGCAAATTGCCGTATTTCTAGAATACTATCTCCCTCCCACCCCAAGTCTTTTTCTTAGGAGTCAGTGTTTAGTTAGTGGTTTGTTTGTGGATGCACAGTTGCTAAGCTGCTTTTTGGACCTAAATGTGAGGCTGTTTATTTCTTTCAGACTTTGTTTTGTTGATGGACGTTTGAATTTCCACTTTCTGGCTATTATGAATAATGCTGCTATGAACTTTCCCGTACAGGTTTTTGTATATATGTATGTGTTTATTTCTCTTGAGTATATATCTAGGAGTGGAATTGCTGAGTTATACTGTAACTTTGTTTAACCTTTTGAGGAACTGCCAAACTTTTTCAAAGCACTGCACCATTTTTCCCACACCCTCCCAAGCACTTGTTAATTGTTTTTTTGATTATAGCCATCCTAAGTGGGTGTGAAATGGTATCTCATCATGATTTTAATTTGCATTTCCCTGATGGCTAATGATACTGAGCATCGTTTCGTGCGTTTATTGGCCATTTGTATATCTTCTTTGGAGTAACATCTATTCAGATCCTTTGATCGTTTTTGTTTTGTTTTTGTTTTGTTTTTGTTTTTGTGTTTTGTTTTTGAGGAAGGTTATCCCTGAGCTAACATCTGCCGCCAGTCCTCCTCTTTTTGCTGAGGAAGACTGGCCCTGAGCTAACATCCGTGCCCATCTTTCTCTGTTTTATATGTGGGACGCCTGCCACAGCATGGTTTGACAAGCTGTGTGTAGGTCCACGCCCGGGATGCGAACCGGCGAACCTCAGGCTGCCAAAGCAGAACGTGCCAACTTAACCGCTGTGCCACCAGGCTGCCCCCTGTCCTTTCGTTTTTGAGTTATAAGAATTTTGTATCCTGGACACTAGTCCCTTATCCTATCTTTGATTTGCAAATATTTTCTCCCAATTTGTGGATTGTTTTCACAGTCTTGAGAGTGCCATTTGAAGTATGAAAGTCTTAATTTAGATGAAGATCATATTGAATCTTGAGACATTATTCTGTGTTAGTTTTCCATATTTTAGCTTGTCATTCACAGCTTTTCTATTTGTAAAGGACCATTCTTTCTAATTTAGTACTTCCCCATTAAATGTAGGTCTTTATCCTATTAAAAACTTTCCATATTTGATTTTTAGTGTTTTCATAATTCCTTTTTACTTCTTAATCAGTCTTAGTTAGAATTCAGATTACTCAGGTAACGTCAAAGTCCACATTTCTGTTCTCTTCCTCTTCCTAGAAGTGATCACCAGTAAGAATCAGTTTGATGTGTATCCTTTCTGACACTTTCTATGCGTATACAAAATGGGCAGCTCTACATTTGGCTCTGTAATGTGTTTAACCGTGTCTTGAGATCTTTCCATGTGAATACCTGTAGCTCTGTCTTGTTCTTCTTTACTATGCACTATTCCACGATGCGGATGTACCATACTTTGTTTATTTATTCATTCCTCAACTAAGAAGCTTTAGGATTGTTCCATGTTTTTCACTATAAAACTCTTGGAAAACGCATACTTATCAATGTCTAGGAGAGGTACCTAGAAGTAGAAGGAATGGGTTGAAAAGCGTTTCAGTCTTAATAGATACTGCTGTATTGCTCTTCCAAAGTGTTATACACTTTACACTTTCACCAATGGTGTATTAAAGTACTAATTTTTCTATACCCTAACCCACACTTAATGTAATTGTTTTAACTTTTGATGCTCAGATTAAGGAAAAATAAGTCTTACTTTAATTGAACAGGTTTTCAGAAGTTCATTGGTCATTGTATTTTCCCTTCTGAATTGCATACGCATCTCCTTAGCCCATTTTTCTAAAGGATTCCTTACCTTTTTCTTAACAGATTGTAGAAGCCCTTTATTATCCAGTTAGTCCTTTGTAATATATATTGCAAGTACTTTTTTTGTTATGTGTTTTTTTGGCTCTGTTGTGGAAGTTTTAATTGTTATGATTTTAAATCTGTCCTTTTTTTTTTTTTTAAGTTTCTGGGTTTTTTGTCTTGTTAAGAGGACCTTCCTTACAGATGGTGTGAGATAGGAATAAAGTTATTTTCCCCCCAACAACCAGTTGTTTCTGTCTCACTTATTTTCCCTGCTAAAAAACTTCAAAATGTTAGTGTTACTTCTGTGGTTTGCTTTGATGGCATCCCAAATATTTTGATACAGAAAACTGTATTTTTGAACTATGAGAACCTTAGGGCTGCCTCCCTCCCAGCACCATCTTCTGTAGGTGGAAATTGAGACTGAAAGGAGGTTAGGTTTCTCAGGCAGTCACAGAGATAGGGGCCAATTAAGGACTAGAAGCCAGATTTCTTCTTCTCGTTAAAGTGCCCTTTCTGTTACAGCAGACTGCTTCGTGAGGCATAGTAAAATTGCCTTCTGTGTGAAATTGTGCTGCTAATCCTGTTTCTATGTGAGGAAAAAAAAATTAAAGCATTCTTTTATTGTGATCATACACTCCCCACCTCCCCATCCTGGCACTTTTCAAGGAGTATTTTTTATTTTATTTTGTAGAGCAATTTGTGTACCTAAAATTATGCCATTCTGCTTGCAGTCCTAAAAATCGATTTACTTTTAACTTAACAGCAGCAGCCGCTCTTCTAAAACATTCAAACCGAAGAAGAATATCCCTGAAGGGTCTCATCAGTATGAACTCTTAAAACATGCAGAAGCAACTCTGGGAAGTGGGAATCTGAGACAAGCTGTGATGTTGCCAGAGGGAGAAGACCTTAATGAATGGATTGCCGTTAACAGTAAGTTTTTAATAACATTCAACTTTGCTGGTTTATAGGAAGATTTTGCTAAAATTTTTTTGTTAATTTTATTTTATAGGTATAACTGTTGTAAGTAAGATAATGGATTATCTTTAAAGAAACCATAAGTACAAATACATCCAAAACTTTGTTCTCTTTAGAGTGCTTGGTTGTAGCTTTTGTGGCTGAGCAGAGACCGGAGGGGAGATGGTGAGTGCTTTGTGGGTAATTTCTGCGGAGAGTGGTGCTGAGTAAAGTCAAAGAAAAGCTTGATAAATGCAAAGATTCTGCCCATGGTGGACCATGACTTTGTAGGGAATCCATCTGTACAGTTGTCCCCCACTCCCAGAGCTGTCATCTGCCCATGTCTACAGAAAGTCATTGCAGTTCATATCGTCACTCACTTGATTGTTGTCACTTAGGAGTAGTCAAAAGGAACTTGACTCATGAGCTGAAAGTCACTCTGAGTTCAAGAAAGTAAGTACATGACACACAAGGGTGTGCTGAGGCTAGAGATTTGAATATTAATCTGTCACTTCTGAGATGAGACCAGTTCTGAGTGATGAGGTTTAAACCTGTTAGGAATCTCAGATATTCCAGGAATTTTTTTAACTTTTTAATGGAAATGTTCAAACATAAAAAAGGAGAGGAACTAGTACAGTGAATTCCCAGGTAGCAATTGTCCAGCTGCAGCAATTATCAATTCATGGCCACTTGTGCTACTTCTATATCACACCCTGAGTATTTTGAAGCAAATCCGAGACATATTATTTCATCTATAAATATTTCAGTATCTCTAAAAGATAAGAACTTCCCCTTTTAAAGATAGTGACAAGACTGTCATTCCTTTACATTATCAAATATCCAGTCAATGTTCACGTTTCCCCTGATTGTCCTGTTGTTTCTTTTTTAAAAAGTGTGTGGTGGGTTTAAATCAGGATCCAACAAGGCCTATATGTGTGTTTTTTAACTCTGTTAATTCACAGGTTCTCCCTCATTGCAACCTTTTTGCCTCTCTTTTTTTTTTTTTTGTTATTGAAATCAGTTCATTTGTTTTCCACAGTGTGAATTTTGCTGATCATATCCCCAAGGCATCCATTATCATGTTCTGTTCCTCCTTTGATTTCCTGTAAATGTTGGATCTAGAGCAGCACTGTCCAATAGAACTTTGTGTGATGATGCAAATGTTCTATGTCTGCGCTGTGGCTTTCAGCACTTGAAATGTAGCTAGTGTGACTGGAACTGAATTTTAAATTTGATTTCATTTTAATGTAAGTAGCCATATGTGGCTAGTGACTATCATGTTAGCACAGATTTGGGGCTTTGATCAAATTCAGATTTGATTTTTGTTTGTAAGACTACTGCAGAGGTGGTGGTATATACTTCCAGCAGTATAGATACTTCCAGTGTCTAGTTGTCTTTTTATGTGGTATTAATCAGTTATTAATAATTATTGCCTTGATCAGCCCTGTCCAATAGAGATAGAATGTAGCACATTAAGAAAAATTTTGTTTTTCTCAATTAATTAAAAAACCATTATTCATATTACTAAGAGAAAAAAACAAGGTGCAGAACTATGTGATATGTTATCTTTTGTGTAAGATAGGATAAAGAAACTTAGGGAGCAGAGACAGAAAAAATTAATATAGTGGTTACCTGTGTGTAGGGGTGGGGTTGGAGTGGATGGAATTTAGATTTTTCATTATATGTGTGAACCATGTGAAGGACTATGTATTGAGAAAAGAGCCCCCCCCTTTTTTTAACCTTATTCAAATTATCTTTTATTCTGAAGGCATTCGTTGGCCTTCTTCAGCCTTAGATTTTTCTTTCAGACTTATTGCTCTGGATCAGCTGTGCTGAAACCCTTTGCTCTCAGGATCTCTTTATTCTCTTAAAAATTATTGAGAACCCCAAAGAGCTTTTAATTATGTAGGTTATATCTAGTGATACTTACTGTCTTAGACATTACAACTGAGAAATTTTAAATACTTATTTTTAAGTTCATCCAAGAATAACAATAATAAACCCATTACATTTTAACATAAATATATTTTTATGAAAAATAGTCGTTTTCCAAAATAAATTTTAGTGAGAAGTGTGGCATTGTTTTACATGTTTGCAAATCTTATTTAATGTCTGGCTTAATAGGTGACAGCTGGGTTCTCATAGCTGCTTCTGCATTCAGTCTGTTGTGGTGTCAACATGGATCCTCTGGACTACGCCACTGTGCCTCCCAGGGGAAGGAAAGTGAAAAGAGCAGTTAAAACGGTTCTGGCCTTCCAGATCCCTCCTGAAACAGGGATCCCTGGATCACGTTTTGAGAACGGCTGCTTTAGAACAATAAGCCAGCACACCATCTGGGCATATTCTTTGTTTTGAATGAATATTGAGTGCTTAAGTATTACTTTCTTGGAAACATGACTGGTTAAGACGGAAGTTTGTAAGTGAGGAAGTTTTGCATAAAATTCCTTTTGACAAGATAGCACTTTTTTTATCTACTTGTTTTTTTTTTTTAAAGATTTTATTTTTTCCTTTTTCTCCCCAAAGCCCCCCGGTACATAGTTGTGTATTCTTCGTTGTGGGTTCTTCTAGTTGTGGCATGTGGGACGCTGCCTCAGCGTGGTCTGATGAGCAGTGCCATGTCCGCGCCCAGGATTCGAACTAACGAAACACTGGACTGCCTGCAGCGGAGCGCGCGAACTTAACCACTCGGCCACAGGGCCAGCCCCTACTTGTTTTTTAAGAAACTTGGAAAAGCCCTAGTTGGCTTTTAGGTACTCCTTTAGATAGGGAACTAAAACATTTTTTAAATTTTCCAAGGCTTACGTGGTTCTCTTTGCACAGAGTAATATGTTTCACTCCATTCAGTTCAGTACTCACCTCTTCCTCTTCCATTTTCTTCCAGATCTAGCTGAAGCTCCTTTAGGAAGTTCTCCTTGCTGCCTCAGCTCCTAGAGATGTCGCTTTTTCTCTGAACTCTCCAGCACTTGTTGTTGGCCTTTGGCTGCTATCTTATATGTTGTATTATTCATCTTTTACAATTTTGTCCATTCTGTGAGCTGGAGACTCCAGGGCAAGGCATGTTATCCTGTGTCTTTTTTATGTCCTCAATATGCATTAGGCCTCAATTTTTTATGATGAATTAGATTTTTTAAACGCCTGATACAGCTGATACACCTTCTCCCTCAACGGTATATTTCACCACACATTTCATCTCTTTCCTAACATAAATGGTATTGTCTGGTGCAGGTCAATAAGAAGCTATGGATTTTCTCATTCCCTTGGATATAATCAAATGGTCTATCTAATGACATAACAGTCACCCTTAAGTTAGAATTATCTCTGACACTTTATTCTCCTGCTGTTAAATCCTGGCTAAAAGCTTACTATATTAAAAGCGAATATATATAAAAAGTTAACTTAGGAGTGCCAGCTTAAGAAGAGAATTTATAGTACCCTTGGGTTGTGGAATCTCCCCAGGATTCAGCAAAGAACTTGAATGCATTGTCCATTTTTCCTTCACATGAGAGATCTGATGTTTTATCGTGTTTACACAGACATTTTAACACAATTCTGCTATTATCTTTCAAGCTGTGGATTTCTTCAACCAGATCAACATGTTATATGGAACTATTACAGAATTCTGCACTGAAGCAAGCTGCCCAGTCATGTCTGCAGGTCCAAGGTACATATACTGCCTATTATATAGGTATTTGAATTACTAAATAAAGCTAATCACTAATTGATATAAATTAAATAATAAAGACTTGTTATTTTTCTTATCTGTTTGCTTGTGTAAAAGCAGTTCAATTTTATTGAGTTCTTGAATACTTAACTATTAACTTTTAGTTATTAAATACTTTTGTATGTGGTACTTGTTTTAATTTTATAATTGCATTATGGTAAGTATTCAGTTATAGGGGCAAAAGTAAAGAAATTTGAGTTAGGTTTATCTTGCATTGCAAAAGTTATTTTTTCAATTTTATTAACATTTACAATTCTGTTTCTGGTTTTTAGATGAATTTCTTGGAAGAGTTTTTAGTTGACCTTTAGTATTTGATTATTTTTTCTTGTGTGTAGTGTCAGGTATTTCTAAATTGTACTGCTTTAGTTATCTAGTTTAAAGGTGCTAGATTTGAAAAACTTGACTATAGTAAATTTCAAGAAATATTAAGAAAGAGATGGAACTCTTTATCACCCATAATGTTCAGTCAGTGTGATGGGATTAATGTTTTAGTGTTTCCTTCCATTCTTTTTTCCTGTAATAAATGACTGATTTTATGTGATGATGGAGGTTAGCAGGATATTTACCTCTTGGAAAAAATTTTTTTTCCTGAATTTGGTATAGGTATAAAGGAAAAAAAAAGTCCCCAATGACTTGGTAGTCCTATTTTTAATACATAATTTTAGGAGAGATATTTTTATTTTGTCTTGTAAGTTTTATCCCTCAAATTTCCTTAAAAGAAATTTAAATAAAATAAATAGGAAAATTAAACTTTTCCATGACTTAAATGCTTTGCCTAGTCAAGTTTTGTGTAAGTCTTGTTAATAATTCTAGCTCAGCAAAGATGAGGGGGAAAAAGATTCATGTCTAAGGATGTTTCTTCAACACCCTCTCCAGGAAACGAGGTTTTATAGTCTTGGTCTATTGGTGATAACTTGATGGCCAAGGATCTCAGAATGTGGTGGATCTATCAGCCCCATACCTGGTCCTCAGCACTCTTCCTAGCAGACAGGAATGCAGTTCCTTTATCTTTTCCAGGGCTGCATTATAAAACACAAATTCCGGCACTGCCAGCTGCCACATTCTCTCTTCTCTTCCAATTATAACCATCACATTTCAGAATGATTCTATAGGGAACTCTCAGTGATTTTCAGTAGAACGTTAGGTAATTTACTGAAGTTATATATATAACTTCTCTTGACAAAATGTGAACCTACTTTGATTACAAGTTGCACATCTGTTCATGTTTTTGAAAACTTTATCAGTAAAACGTTTTTCTCTTCAGATATGAATATCATTGGGCAGATGGTACTAATATTAAAAAGCCAATCAAATGTTCTGCACCAAAATACATTGACTATTTGATGACTTGGGTTCAGGATCAACTTGATGATGAAACTCTTTTTCCGTCTAAGATTGGTGAGTTAATGTTGTAGAACTATTCTCTTTTTAGATGGTAAATGTGTTGTGTTCTTTTTAATGCTTCATTACTTTAAAAAAAATGTAATAGAGACTGCCAAATTCCTCTCCAAAAAGATTGTAAATACATACTTTCCTCCAGCCAGGTTTGTGTCTGCCTGTGTTTCTTTATCAATACTGATTTTTTTATCTTTTCTAATTTGGGTGAATAAATATCTGTTTTAGTGTATGTTTTTAAAATACTGATGAGATTGAGCGTTTGTTAGTTTATTGATCATCGTGTGTTTTCTTTTTATATCCTTTGTCCATTTCTTTGTATGTTAAATGTATTAGCTCTTTGTCACACGTGTTGTATGTAGTGTTCCCCAGGTTGCCTTTTGTTCACGAGGTGTTTTTACTATATATAACTTTCTTATTTTGCCCTATCAATCTTTTCCTTTATGACATCTGGGTTTTAATACAATGATTAGAAAAGTTTTCCCTTCTTCAAGATTATTAAAATATTTGCCCATGTTTTCATTTACTAGCTCTGTGGTTTTGTTTTTAAACATTTAAGTCTTTGTTCTCTCAGGAATTTTTTTCTCAATGCTCCTTTAACTTTTTTCCAATTTTATAAATGCTAGCCAGTTTGCCCAATACCGTTTATCAAATATATGTGTCTCTTCTCCCCTCATTATCATATGTGTACACCAAATTGCCACATATTTTGGAGTCTTTTAATGTCTATCTGTTCCTATGGAAATTCCACACTGTTTTAAATACCATGGCCATATATCTTTGAGCATCTTTTAGGGCTAGTCTCTCTTCCTTGCTTTTCTTTTTCAGAATATTCATGGCTATTCTGGGATATTTGTTCTTCCAAAGAACTTAGAATCATTTTGCCAAGGTAAAAAAAAGACCTTTGTGAGATTTTGATTACGGTTTCATTCAATTTGTAGATTAATACAGGATTCTTGTTCTCTTGACAATTCTGAGACTTCCTATCCTAGAATAAGGTATTTTTCTTCATTTATTCACATTTTTTATTTATTTCTAATTTCTTCTTGTGAAATTCTGTAGTTTATGCTAATCCTTCAAGTTTCTTAAGTTTATTCCTAGGCATTTAATGTTTTTTATTCATATCTGGTTTCCAACTGGTTACTGTTTAGTATATAGGAAAGCTGTTGATTGTTACATACATTTTATGTAAAATTTTATGTAAGTTGATCATCAGGTTCTGATTGTTTCTGTTGTTTTGGGTTGGTTTTCTTGAGTTTTTTAAGTATACAATCACCTCATATTAAGATAATATTAATTTTGCTGCTTCCTTTCTGATATATATACTTCTTGTGTAACTCTTATCTAATTTCGTCAACTAGTACTTCCAGAACAGTGCTGAGTAATAGTGATGATGGCAGACATCCTTTTCTTGTTTCCTTACTTTTATGCGAGTGCTTCTAGTATTTCAGCATTAAGAAGGAATGTTGCTTTTGGTTAGAGGTGTGTGACTGATTTCTGAATCAGTTATGGTGGTATTTTATGAGATGCTTTTCCAATATCTGTTGGTGATGACCATAAGGTTTTCTCCAGTATTTTTTTTTTAATGATCTGCTGGAAGAGTATTTTTTATTATCTAATATTCTCATTAAGATTTGGCTTTGGTATTCACGGACGCGATCGGTACTTGTCATTTTCAGTTTAAGGGTGTCTAATGAACAACATATTGTTGGATTCTGTCTTGTCTGTTCAGGCTGGTATAACAAAAATACCAAAGACTGGATGGCTTATAAACAAGAGGAATTTATTTCTCACAGTTGTCAAGGCCAGAAGTCCAAGATCAGGCTGCAGCGTGGCGGGGCTCTAGTGAAGGCTCACTTCTGGTTGCAGACTGCCGACTTCTCGCCTGGTCCTCACAGGGTGGAGGGGCCGCAACCTCTCTGGGGCCTCTTTTATAAGGGCGCTATCCCATTCATGAGGACTCTGCCCTCGTGACCTAATCACCTCCAAAAGGCCCCACCTCCTAATACCGTCACCTGGGAGGTTAGGATTTCAACCTAGGAATTTTAGGGGAGACACAGACATTCAGAACGTACCAGATTCTTTTTGCAGTCTAATCAGAGGATCTTTCAAGAGAAAAATGTACGTCATGCTGTTACACTTGGTCTGTTTGCTCTTGGTCAACTTTTCAATTCCATTATTAAACCTTTTATTTCCTTCCTCATAGATTCTTTATTGCATATTGATTGTGCTTGAATGTTTCTGTTAAATTCAGCTTGAAAAGTGCTTAGATTAAAACAAATTACTTGTATTTCTTGATTCATTAGAAAGATAAGGAATATTTTTTACTTTATTCTTTTTTCTCAGCTTCACATTCTCAGTAATTCATCCTAATGTTCTGTGGAATTCTTTTCCCTCTCATTAGACTATTATTATCCACATCTTACTTATGAGGATTATTTATTCTTATTAGGCAGGATTGTTTATTATTCATTTTTTTTAAGATTGCCACCTCAGCTAACGTCTGTTGCTGATCTTTTTTTTCTTTTCCCCCCCAAAGCCCCCCAGTACATAGTTGTATGTTCTAGTTGTGAGTGCCTCTGGTTGTGCTTATTATTCATCTTTAAGTACTATATCCAGGTTATTACTGTTCCTTTTATTAGCAAGATGCCCATTTATAAATTCAGAGAGTAAAGGAGTTTGACTTAAAAATTCATCTTTTCAACGCGTGAGTACAAGACCCTGTTCAAAAAACATGCCCATAAGCTCCAGAATAATATTTGAAAAGGCAAGTTGTTAGCCAAGGCTGGTGAATAAAACCCACAAAAATCAGCTTACAAGAGCAAAATATACTAAATTTCAAGCTATTACGGTCTGATTGAGAAATAAACTAAAGAAAACAAAATGCAGGGAAGGAAAAAGTGTTTTAGCCTTGGTTTTTTGAAAGATTGAAGAAAATGAAATGTTTCAAGAGTAGAGTTCTGGAACAGACCTTTAAGGCCAACTAATTTGGGTTATTTTGGAAGCAGATGCCGCCTTACGTATTTATTTACTGTACTCAGTGCCAGTTGTATTGTCTTTCTCCTGTCGCTGTTTTCTAAAAGACTCTGATGTTGTCATCCCAAATTCTCAGGCATGTAACCCCTTGCATCCCCATCTGCACTGCTTGGAGAGAGATTACCAAACCCTCTCCCTGTTCTTTTCAAAGGAGGTGTTTATTGTTTTTGAAAAATAAGGAGATCCCCTTCTTCCCTTTTTCAGGAAGTATATCCCCTTCTTAGACTACAGGAACACAGAAATAGCACTTTAAAAAAATAAAATAAAAAGTTGGGGACTCCTAGTTTAAGAAAGAAAATTGGCTTTTCAGAGTAATTCGGAAGACAAAGTACTTCTTATTTGTAAACAGCAGATTATGACTCAAAGTCTGCCTTTCTTTTTCTTTTGCTTAGGAGAGTTTCCAGTCCTGGCTGAGTATGTATGTGTGTGTGTAAAAAATTTTTTTAGAGTTAGAAATTACAAAACATAAAAATTTTCTATTTGTAGTCCAAATACTTATTCTTGTTGCATTTAATCTTGGGAAGAAACTCTCCAATATTAAACAACTAACATTATGTTTATTTTAACTTTGATTCAGTAGCATCTTATATAACTTGATACCTGTGCCTACAAGGCACTCCAAAAAAGTGCAGTATGTGAGGATACCTCATATACCTAGGTTTGGGATTTTTTTCCTTGCCTTTCCAAAAAATGTATGGAAATAGGCTTGTATTTGTGAATGTGTGTGTTTGTGTGTTGGAGTTGCTAATGGCAGTGTCTGCACTTTCTGATCTTCAATTAGGTAAAAGACTGATCAATATATATGTGTATTTGATTACAGGTGTCCCGTTTCCCAAAAACTTTATGTCTGTGGCAAAGACCATTCTAAAGCGTCTCTTCAGGGTTTATGCCCATATTTATCACCAGCACTTTGATTCTGTGATGCAGCTGCAAGAGGAGGCCCACCTCAACACCTCCTTTAAGCACTTTATTTTCTTTGTTCAGGTAAGTTGGGCACTGTTGACTTCTGTGTGTTTTGACTTGGACTTACTTGGATTGGTAGCTTTAATAAGAGCAATGTCTTATTTATACATGTAGAGCTAAGTATAAAAAGAGTTCTCTATTCTGTTCTCTTTTCCATGTTGTTTGTTTCATTGGTATGCATAGCAGCTTGGAAAGCATCACCCCCATCTTAGGCCCTTTGCCTCTGGCTGCCCCAAGTCTCTAGTTAGTTTGTGACAGGGAGCACCAAAAACCCAAGAAAGCTTATCCATACCCTCCTGTTCCGTCGCCACTGCTGGTTGAAGGGATGCTGTGGAAAAATGCCTGCATTTGGATTGTGCCATGAGATGTCTGTGCCTGGAAGAGTTTTGGGAAGAATTTGTTAGCTGCTACCTTGGGTTAAGATTTTTTGTTTTGTTTTGCTTTTTGGGTTTTGTTTTTGAGGAAGATAAGCCCTGAGCTAACTACTGCCAAATCTCTTTTTGCTGAGGAAGACTGGCTCTAAGTTAACATCTGAGCCCATCTTCCTCTTCTTGTATGTGTGGGACACCTGCCACAGCATGGCTTGACAAGTGCTGCCTAGGTCCATGCCTGTGATCCGTACTGGCAAACCCCAGGCCACCAAAGCAGAATGTGCAAACTTAACCACTGTACCACCAGGCCGCCCCTGAGTTAAGTTTTCAGAAGTCCCACTTCAGGCCACATCTTAGGAAGTCAGCAGCTAGAAACATCCCCTTCCAGAGATGTGGCCTATTGCCTTATGGGCCCTTAGTTGGAACTGGAATTTTCTTAAGTCAAAATAATTCACATTGTTTGGAAAAGATCTCGAAAAATCAGGACTCCTTTAGCCTGACTTTAGAGATGTGTAATTCTATAGGCAAAATATAAATATTTCTATCTGGATGTTACTTTTTGGTGGAAAAAAATGGTAGCTTTATAGTAGAGATTGTGTATTACAGTTCTGTGTACCAAACAAAGGAGAATGTACTGTACTATTCTCTATCTTCCTTCTGAGATTGGTGCATGGCACAGATACAGATATATAGTATAGATAGAAATAGAGAGAGATGAAAGTAAAAGGTCCACTGCCCCAGGGCTGGCCTCTAACAATGTATAGTTTTCAGATGATGTCTATGTAAATGCAAATGTATGTACAATTTGGATTTTAATGTTTTATACAGTGAGGATCATGCTAATACATATAGTTGATTATTTAATAAGTCTCCTATATTCGGGGGTAAAAATGATCCCATTTTAAAATGTTTACAGAGACCATTTCATCATTCTTTCAGGTTTCAGAAAAGTAGGATTGGGAATCCTTTCTCTTAATGATATTTACAGTTTTAATTTTAGATCTATTTTTAAAATTTATTTTTCTTCTCTTTTTAGGAGTTTAATCTGATTGATAGGCGGGAGTTGGCACCTCTTCAGGAGTTAATTGAGAAGCTTGGATCAAAAGACAGATAAATGTTTCTTCTAGAACACAGTTACCCTCTTGCTACTGCTAGAGCTATCTCATTGCTATCTGTTCTAGACTAGTGATACAAACTTTAAGAAAACAGGATAAAAAGACACCTCTTGTCTGTGTCTAGTGATAAAATTGTCTCAAACGTAGATTGGCTTAATACCTTCAGAGTGAGAAATTCAGGACAGCCAAATCTGAGGCACTATGTGACCACTCCTGTTATTGTCACAGAGTCATACTTGGCTGTAGTACGTGATGACTAACCAGTAATTTATTAGTTTACTTCTTATTCTTTTACTGAAGAAAATGATTGAGTCTGTTTCAGGTGACAACATAAATGGATGTTAAGAGTTTTCACCAATAATTTATTAACGATTCCCAGAACGAATTTCCTAGTAAGGCGGTCAGATCAGTTTTATTCTGCTTTTATTTTATAAATAGAAGAGGTATTTTTAAGTTTCCTTAAGATTTAGAACATTTGTGTCACTTTGGATAACGTTTTAGTTTGAAGTTTGTATGCTAGTGTTTTTATAGATAAAATATATTTGTATATTTTTTCAAAATCCATGATTGCAGTTTAAATCATCATATGACATATGAGGTATGGGAGTAACCAAAGTTATTTCTAAAATGACTTTATTTTTTAATCTTTATTTGGAATTTTATTCACATAAACCTATCTAAATTTTTAGGAGTGGGTGTGTGTATCAGAAATAATTTTTTAAGGCATCTAAGGATGGTCTTGTAGAGTTTTATTTCAAAATACTTCATTCAGATTAATTTTAATAGGTAGTTTTTGGCCGAGAGAAAGAAAACTCAAAAAATTGACATGTTTAGGTCTCAGAACCACTATTTTCATTCACATTGTTTTTCAGAGGCCTCGAAATTCTGGATAAGAGAATGTAAGAAAGTACTCGGAGTACTTGATTATTTTGTTTTGAGTTTCCTTTAAAAAAAATTACTTCTATATGTTTTTATTGTGACTTGATACTTAGTTAAGAGTAATGTAGAAATGCACAAACTTTATCCCAGTAAGGATAAAACTTGAGAACCACAATAAAAAGCATTGAAGATGTACACATTTTATAACACAGCTAAAAGTTTAGTCTGCTACCTGTTCGCGCGCATGTGTGTGTGTGTGTGTGTGTTTAAAAGCGACAAAGTGGGAAGAATAGGTTAAAAAAAATCTGACTTCATTCTGTTTATAGTCAAAGGATGGACTGAGCCCCCATAGGAGTTTTATCCTGTTTTAATTGTTTTTGTATCAAAACTTGAAATTATTCTATTTCTGTTGGGATAAAAGAATCTTCCCCATTAGTGAAGGAAAGATCTGATTGTCATTAGGTTTCTGGAATTTAGTAAACTCTAGCTGGCTGTTTGAAACATATTGAGGCACAAGAATACTAGACTGGCAGTGCTTGAAGTTCATCAGCATTCTGTATTTGAGAGCTGTGCTTTTTGCAAAGTATTCACCATCGTCGATGGCTTCGGTAAAGGTTCAATTTCATAAGGTTTTTTGTTATTTATTTTTATTATTCCACTAGAGTATAAAGAATTGCTTAGAAACTTCATTTTTCTAATAACTCAATTTCAATAAATTCTTAACTATATCCAGAATTTTAAAGGAAACAAAACGTTTCATCTAATTTAGGCTGAAACCGTACATCATTTGTTTCAGGAATTAAAAAGTAGGATAATCACTTAGGGAAAAAGGAGAAAAGCCCTCTCCAAAACATTCCACAATCCACATTATAAGCTTATCCAAAGGTCCTTATCAGGCGTTCTGTATGTTTCCGTTGATCACTTATGGACAAGAAAGCAGGTTTCTGGATGCACCTAGAATGTTACTGCCTCTCGACTTTAAACCTTCTTGGCTTTAATAAGTCTGCAAGGAATGAAATTATATTTCTCAACTAAGGTTGAACTTTCATCATCATTTATAATATTTCAAATATTCTCAAACAAAAGTGTTCTTACTTTTCTCCATTTATTTAGAATGATAGAAATCCTGCCTCTCTCTTCACGTCTCATCCCCTGAACTTACCAAAGATGGTCACATATGAGAACAGTAGTAAAGGCAGCTTATTAATGGGGTGTAAATTAAAAATTTGTTGGTAATTTGAGACTCAGAATGGCCTTTTTAAAAAAAAAAATAAAAACATTACCAGGTTCTGAAGCTAGTCTGGCGTAACCCACAATGCACCTAAACATGTGTTAACATTATGTGTTTACATCCAAGGGCAGGAGAACTGAGGAAGGGGGCAGAATGGGGAGAGAGGAGCGCCTTCTGACTTGGCTAGAGGGCCAACCAGTCTTTGATAAGAGTTGGAAGATATCGATCTGTCTTTGGCTCCTCTCACTTTTGGTTTATCTCCCTGGGCTCAGGGTATGCCTGTTGCACAGCACTCACTCCCCTGTCCCCTCCGAATCAGAAGATGGCTCCTTGTGTCTGATCGCTGATCCTCACACCTGATTACAGGCATGGCGTGGAACGTACTTGCTAAATTATGCAGGGAATCCTATGGTGCTGGAACATCCAGGTCTTTTAAAAAACGTTGGGACAATGATGTGCAGGTTTTTGTTTAAATATTGACACTTCCTTGTACTACAGTTTTTGTATTGACAGCCAAATGTATCCTTTATTTTTCTCCAGACAGTGAATAAGTGATTTTAGAGGGCTGCCAGCTAACAAAGTATCTCCTTTCATCTCAGACTTGTAGAGTCCCAGCTCCTGTAGCTGCCTGCTGGAGATGCAGATCTATATCCTCACGCCTTTGATAACAACAAAGGGGGGCTTTTCCTAGGAGTGCAGAGGCCCGAGGGGCAATCCCGAGTGATGATTTTGACTTGTGCAAACATTGTTGAGGTTTCCTGACTATGCTGTTGGCCTTCTCTTGAGCAGTTATACTAGAAGTGATGCTTCTAAACATAAAATCATTACCTCATAAGCATAAACAAATCAGGCCTAGGAGTGTAAGTCCTAGAAATTTGTTCCTGAGCAGCTCCAGTCATGGTGCTCGTGTTACCCCTGCCTGGTTCTAGGAGGCCGTCTCCTGTCTGTAGAACTCGCCTGAAAAATGCCACTGGGACACCAAACTGAGCACCTTCGACAGGGACATTATTTCCTCCTGATATCAGTTCAGTAAATGGATTTGGTTTCTACTATTGTAGAATTCTGGCAAAGAGGGAAAATAGTAATCCCTCAGTTTTCCTGTGTTTTTTGCATTAGATTTTGATGTTTCAGACTGTAAAATGCTTTGGGGGATGATACTTGTGATCACAGTAATTTTATTGAAGCAACTGCATTGAAATTCACTTGGGTTTTCTCTCATTATCAGATTCTATTCCAAACAAGTATTCTGTAAATCCAGATGGATTTCCAGTGTGCTGTAGAGTTATTATAGAACAACATTCTATGTTTGGTCTACATTGAAAATAGTTTGCATCAGTTAGTCTTGGTTATCATCTAAAATATTTTTAAATGTTCTTTACATGAAAATTTATGTTGTATTTTTAAACCTTTAGGGGCTTTATCTATTTTTCTAAGTCACTTAACTGTACTTTAATAAAAGTATTTTGTATCTACTTTTGTAACTTCATCAGAATAAAATATATTGAAAGAAGGTAATGACTGATTACAAATTATGTTTCAACATAACTTCTATTTAAATGTGAAATTTGAAATTTTTGCAGGTTCTGTGGAAGGTTATCCTTGCTTATCATTTAGTAGTGAAAATGTTTTAACTCTTAGAAGAAAGGGGAGTTCCTAAATATCTTATAATACCAGGACCCCAGCCCCAAGAAAAAAAACTATGCCTCCCATTACAGTGGCTAAAATGCATCCCAGACAAAAAATAAGGAGTTTCCCTCTGACCAAACTAACCACCCTCTCCACCTCTTTTGCACATTTCTAGTTGTGAGATTGAGAAAAGGGAAGAGGAGAGACTGGATTCATTAATTTTCTGTCCTTGAAACTGAGTACTCAGTATATGCGTAAGACACCCCCCACCTCAACCAACCGTTTTTCATTATTGCAGGGGAAATATTAGAGTTATTTTTAGAGGTCCAAATTACAGATGCCTAATTTTAGGTCTATTCAAAATAGCTGTGCTAGAATTGTTTTGACCTTGAGTAGAATTAAAATTAAAAACTTAAATATTGCTAAGTAATGTGGGTTAACATTCATATTTTGTATAGGATACAAGTAAGCTAGCAATCAGTTTTGGGTTTTTTGACAGTTATATTTTGGTAGGCTTAAAATCAATCAGAATACTGTTTCATTTGTAAGGGTGTTTAATGTCCAAACCATGCCTTGGGCCTTCTCTAGCAAATACCCCACTGTTGGCGGCTATGTATGGACACCACAGCCTGCACTATTCGTTGCTGCTAGATGTCAGTCTACCTCAGCTTCTCCCAAAAGCTGGATGCATCTATCCTGACCAAAATAAAGGAGTTTACCTAGCACTTCTTCCTTTTATGTGTGTTCCTAATCAAAACTCATATGGGTGCCTCTGATTGGCAGATCATAGGTCACATACCGCTATCGAAGCTGAAAGAGAAGCTGGGGGAAGTTTCTGGGTTTTACTTGGGGGTTCAGAACTCTTAGCAAAATTGTTTCTAAGATGGATGGTCCAAAAGCTTGGACTGGCTGCTGCTCTGTGAGCTTTTTGTTCCTGTCCTGTGAAAAGATAAGGGCTTTTCACCAGACTGTATCCAAATACACTGTTTAGCTCAGCTGACTTTTTTTTTTTTTTTTTTTTGGTAGCAGATTTGCTAAGTGAAGGAAGTAGATTATTGATTCAGATTCTGGCCAAGTTCCTTGTTTTGTGGCTGACCAGCACTTTGAATATCACTTCCTTAGGGGAACCTGCCTGTTTTAGGAGAGCCCTTTAGCAGGTTATCCCATTTAATCCTTACAGCCACTTGGGGAGGGGGTGGCAATTTACAAGTATGTTAGGAATTTTTCAGTGTTTTCCAGACAGTGTCAGAGAAGCTCAGACTTCAACTATCTAGTTCATAGCAAGGTAGGTCTCTTTCTCTGGGTTGTATTTGTAAAAATTCTCTGTTCAAGAGTGCTAGGAAGCTCTAGAAAATAAAATGAATGCAATTAAAAATCACCCCAATGAGGTAATAAAAAAAGGAGCTGCATCCACAGAGATCCTACCTAAGGAGCTTCCTGCAGTAGCTCAGATGTGAGTCTTACAATATGAAAGCTGGGAGTGTCACCGGCCGATGAAGAGAAGAGAATCTCAAATTGAGAGCAAAGAAGTAAAATGCAGAAGGGATTGAGACTAAAGACATTACACTTTCCCTCAACAAAGTAAGACTGATCTTTTATTTGCTTCAATCATAACTTATTCTCGACCTGCTAAGTTGAAACTCATTTGGAAGCCCAAGGTTCGTGAGATTGTTCAAATCCTTTTCTAAAAAGCTCCGGATTCACGCTGTGGAACTGCTAAACCACTGTCAGTTCTGTTCCATAATTACAGTGCAGGCACTTTTTGTCCCCTGCCACGCTGGGCCATTGATGTAGGTGACTAAAGCAAGAGCCTGTTATGGAGCTTGTGGACCAGTGGTAAAAACAGACACGTAGACTGAGAGTTCTAAAGGGCTATATGTGCAATAAAAGTTAGGCACAAATTGTGGGCCCTTAGTTTACCGTGGGGCAGTCCGAGGTGGCCCCCCAGGGAAGATGAGGCTTGAACTGGCTTAAAAGATGGGAAACTGCACAACCAAACTTGCAGCATATTTTGTACAGGGAGGCAGAAGCAGTGATGGCTGGACTTCAGTTGGACAGGTAGGTAGAGGTTAAATCATATGAAAGAAGTGGGTTTTTGCCTGTAGGTGATGGGGAGTCTGAAGGAATTTAAATAAGCAAATAAGGGACAGGTTTTCATTTCAGATGGCTCTGACAGCAGTGTGGCAACAGGGTAAGGGGATGATACTGGGGCAGAGTGGCAGTCCAAAATAGCAGATAATATGAGCAATTGTTAAATTACAGGGAAGAGGAAAGTAGGAGACAAGCAAAAGTACTGATTTTCAAAAACGGAAAGAGGAATTCTGCAAATACAAATCAATAAGTTTAACGAGTCTCTTCGTTACAAGCGGCAAACCCAACTAAGATGATTTCAGTGCTCATTTCTAGCACTCCTTGTTTCCAGTTGCACAACCAACATCAAACATCCATCTCCTCTCAGCCTTGCTTTCTGTGCCTGCTTCGTTTCTAAAGCAGCGCTGCCCACATGATTGTGAAGATGGCCACTAGCTATAGGCATTCTACCAGCATAGCAATCCATTTGCAAATGATCATTTCTGTTCCTTAGTTCCAGAAGGTCCCTAAGCCAACTGTCACTGATCTGGCTCAGGACATGTGACCAACCTTAAACCAATCCCTTTGTGCAGATTTAGGTCATGTCTGAGGAGGGGTTTGCCTCATCTGAACCATGTGGTTTGAGTAGCAAAGGGGTAGGTCAGCGCTACACCACTGGAAAAAATACTTTGGGCGGTTTTAATTACATCAGTGAGAAAATATTAAAAGTTGGCAAATTATCCCTAATTCCACCAACCATAATTTTTAAGCAATCAAGCAAAAAATGTGAGAGGCTATTACAGTAATCCAAAGGAGAAATTATGAGAGCCAAACCTAGGAGTCACACAATACTGGAATGAATGAGCACAGTTTTAGCTGATCGCTTTAACCGTAGGTCTGTCCAACCATCCAAGCGCAGGGCTGAACGTCCTGATTGCAGAGGGTAGAATGCAGTAGCAAAAAGAGCTAGTAAATCCTGTAGGGTATACCAGACCATATGCTGCAAACAAGTACAGCTAGAGAGAGAAAGGGCTTTGGCTGGATTTCGGCCTTGACATCTGTCTGAAGTTCTCCAGAGGTAAGGCAGGTTTGCTGACAATCTTATCCATCCCTCATGGTGTCAGCTTCCGCTACATTCCCACGGCTCCACGGTCTGTGGCTCCAGCCAACGCCTCTGCTCGGCTGTGTCCTGCAGGCACCTTAAATTCACGCAAATCCGAAACTGAGTTCATCGACCCCCTTCAGCCCAAACTCTCCTACTCCCACTTCAAGCCAGAAACTTGGGAGTCATCCCAGACGCCCTCCTCACCCCCGCCACCCAATCCAGTCCCTCCGTTCCAGTCGCTTCCCAAGCGTCTCACTCCACTCCTCCCATACCTGCTGCCGCGGCTCTAGGTCAGGCCGCGTCTCGCCTGGACCACTGCAATAGCCTCGGAACTTCTGTCCTCGGCTCCAATTTCAGCCCCCTACAGTCTCCGCTCCTCGCAGGAGCCGGAGTGATCGTTCTAAAATGCAAACCTGAAAACGACTTTCCTGCTTAAAATTCTTCCCAGGCCCCCTTCTGGAGGGAGAACCCCAAACTCCTCAGTTTAGAACCGCCAGGTTGCCGGTGGGGGGAGTGGGAATGAAGTTCCACCTGGGGCACGAGGGGCATCGGGATAAGGGCAAGTCGGAAAGGAGGGCCGAGCCCCTCGGACGTGTTTCTAGGCTGAGGAGGAAGGACCCGCTGGGGGAACGAGGCCCGGGGAGGCTGGGGGAGCGCGGCGCGAGCGGGCGCGGAGGACGCGGCCCTGAGCGGACCAGGCGGCGCTCTCCGGGATGGCGCGTCGCCAGGCGCGGACAGGGCCGGGCTGGGCGGGGCCTGGCGGCTCGCGGCCTCCGGGCGGCAGGGGGCGGCCTCTCCCACGGCGGCGACTCTCGGTCCCGGGCTCCGTGCCTTTCGGGCGACACGGCGACCTCGGGGGACGGGCTGCGTCGGCCGGGCATGGCGGCGTGGAGCCCGGCCGCAGCAGCTCCTCTGCTCCGCGGGATCCGCGGGGTGAGCGCGGGCGGGGGCCGGGCTGCTCTCCGGGGCGGGAGGCGCGGAGCGGCCGCGGGGCCGACTGCTGCCGGGGCTCGAGGACAGGCTCCCCGAGGGCGCGGCGCAGGGCCGGGGGCCTCCCCTGCCTTCTTGCCTTCATTCATTGATCGTCCGTTCGGTGGGCCCCGGCTTTGGAAAAAGGGCAGGCCCCGGCGCGCGCTGGGGGAGCTTCCGAGCAGGGTGGACGTTGGGGCGAGGGGAACAGACACGTAAACAGTCATAGTACAGCGGGCACGGAAAAAGCAATGTCGATTTTCCCAGCCGCAGACGTAGGAGTCATAGCGCGGAGCGACGGCGTGGGTGCCACGCGGAGGACTGTGGAGGGGTCAGCTTTCTGGGAATGTCCGCCCTGGCTCTGTGACCTTGACCCTCCCCAAATCCCACACACCCGGAGTAGAAGCCCAGCAGAGGGCACTCAACACGCGCTGTCCTAATTTTCTCGCCCCCTTTCTGATTGCATCCTTTGCCTCACTTCATCTACTTCTTTACTTTCCTCTCCCGTTCTTCCTTCCCTCCTGCTGGTCTTGGACCTGCCTCCCCCGAACAGGTCTACTGGGGACTTTCAGCGTGGAGGGTGGGCATCTAGGGATTTTGTCAGTCGATTGCTGGTTTAAAGGCCACTGCCCACAGATCTGCTGAGATAAAAGGAAGCCTTCTTCCAAGGAATCTGCAGGGCTATCCATCCTCACTCTCCAGTGATGACCACTGCTGCCTGCCACCGGTTACCCTCTGCCTTTGCACCCCAAAGCCTCGTCCTCAGAAGAGGCTCCACCCCCACCCGCACCCCCCAATCCTACCCATGCCCACAGCATCAAGTTTGTCCCTCCACACAGTATTCAGACGGTCTAAGTCCAGATCTTTCTCCTGACCTGCATTTCAACTGCCTGCCAGAAACGAAATGTCTTTGCCGGTGCCCAGTAAGCATGCCCTGAATCATACAGTTCCCTTGCTCATCTACCCATCCATCTATCCATCCCTCTGCCCTGGGCTCAGCTCTGGAGGGCTGCAGTAACAGGACAGACACAGTCTTGGCCTTTGAGACCAGTTGGTGAAAGAGCAAGTGCACAAGTCATTTTAAAGAAGATGCTCCGAGATTCTGTTACACAGGACCCATCAGGAAAGGCCTGAAGATGGGCCAGACTGGGGGTGAAAGGGTGGTACCTTCAGCACCAGCACTTGATGAACAGCGCTAGTGTTCTCGCTCCTGCCCTCTCCCTCCACTCAGGCCCGACTCCCGGGGCTGCTCCCTTTCTAAGGCCTCCCATCTGGGCATCTTTCCTGATGAGCTTCAGATGGCACTGTTTCGGGCAGGTTACTTTGTCTAATGAAGTCCAAAATCTTTAGCCTGATATTCAAGGCCTGCCATGCTCTATTTTCAGTCTCCCTTTTCTACATGTGCTCGACCCAGCCAAGGGGCTGCCCACTTGGTTTTCTGACCCCCTGTCCTAAGGGTTGAGACACAGTCCCTTCAGAAGCAGTGGCTCCCTGTGGTAGCCACTGGGGGAGGAGGGAGTGTTGTGGCCAGTGGTAAATAATCTAAAAATGTTCCCCCTTCTGGTCATTTAACAGACTTCTGCTTCCTCTCCCTAGTGAGGATTAGTACATGCTGCAAAGCGTAGCTGGCTTGTTGAGCAGTAGGTCACAAGGTCACATCCCACTGGAGAGAGTGTGGAATGTTAATCAGGCCTAAAGGGTGGGTGGCATCTGGCAGCACCAGTGCTCAGTCAGTGGCACCCTGGCCTGGCAGGGCACGTCTTAGGCAGGCTGCCCACGTCTCCTGGCTCTGCATCTTGCTAGCAGATCCAGCCTTTGGCAGATTACTTAGTGCCTCAGATTCCTCGCCTATAAAACTGTCATCATGGTAGGGTCTCTCACAGCATTATCATGGGGAGTTAAACACCTGTTGAATTAGGTTTGGGGTCTTGTTGTCTCTAGAATCAAAGTATGTTGTTTACGGTCTTCCCCTGCACCCGAAAAGTTTATTCTGCGTCCTGGGGCACTTAAATGGACACCTGACACCATGCAGCCCCTCTGACTTAGCCCATGGCTGTGCTGGTGAGGGCTTGGAGTGCTGCCTTGCAGGGGAACGGCAGGTGGGGCCTGCCTGGTGGCCCAGCCTGGCCTGGGGTTGCATTGTCTTGTTCTGCCGTGACTCTTCTCTGTTCCGTGGCAGCTTCCTCTTCTCCACTGTGCCCAGCGGATGTTTGCCTCGCAGACTGAGGGGGAGCTCAAAGTGACCCAAATTCTCAAAGAAAAGTTTCCTCGAGCAACAGTGATCAAAGTCACCGACATTTCAGGTGAGGTTTTCTCCCGTCTTTCCCATGGGGTTTGGGAGCATTTTGCCCTCTAAAGGGCGGAGGGCGGGGGGGTTAGCAGAGGGAATTTGCCATCAGGGGCTTCTCAATATGTGTGGCTTTTGGACGGATGGAACACGGCCTCTCGCACCAGACAGGTGGAAGTAAGGATGTAGAAACGTTGGAGGGAAACTGTGTGGGGACCCCACAGCCAGGAGGACTCAGTCACCAGCCTGGCCCAGCTTGGATGAGGTCCCTCTCAGTCACCCCAGGGCTCAGGGCTACCGTCTTTAATTTGACTTTGAGAAAGGCCTTACTTTAATTCTCCACATTCTTCTGACACCTGGAATGTTAGAGCTGGAGCAGACCCTAGGAAGACATTGTCCTTTTGAGGAAAGTAATTGCCTTGGTTTCCCCACAAGGAGATGAGCCCAGATTGGCCAAAGAACCTGCCCAGCCCTTCACAGGGAGGAGGCAGCAGAACCAAAACCAGAACCAGGACCCGGGGCAGACTGTCCTGAGCCCATTACCAGCCCCAGCCAGGCCCCGCCTTTCTTGGATGACTGGCACCACAGAAGGTTCGGCTGGCTGTGTGTTAGGAGCAGCTGGGGAATCAACTTCAGCACCCAGGACAGAGAAGAGAGGTCCTTTATCCGGTCACATGTGCAACAGCTGGCCCTGGGCAGCAAGATGGGCATCGACCTGAATCTCCCCACACCCAGGCACAGTCTTTGCCACTCTGCGTTGCCACCGTGGCTCACTGGCTTCTCTGAGAACATGACATTTACAAGAATTGAAAGAAAGTTCAGGAAGTGCTTTTTATTCTAGAAACTATAGAAAATTAATCAATCTAAAGATCCATTGGAATGGTAGGTTGGGTGGGCGCTCTGGGGTTGGTCCTCCGGCAATGCTGAGGCCTTGATGTCACCAGTCATGCTCCTGCCCCAGGCCCAGGCAGGGCAGAGCTAGAACTTGACCTTCAGTCTGGCTCTGCCCAGCCCTGGACAGAATGCCAAAAGAAAATTGAGGCTGGGAACCCCGGCTTCACCGAAGCTTGGACTCCTAGAGCACATCGGAGAAGCACAGCCACGCCTATTGCATAAATTGCACTTCTCATACGGTGGCCTGGTGTTAAAAGCACAGGGGACATTTTCTTTCTTGCCTACCTTGTGTCATGCTACAGCAGCACATTTTATCATCAGTCATCAGCCAGAGACAAAGCCTGGGCAGGGAGTGGATGGGTCACACAAGCTCTGCCTGGAGAGCTTCACCAGAAAGCGGCTCCCTCCCTGCGGAAGCCAGGATAACACTCAGGGCTGCTTGTAAAGCAGGAGGTGCTGGAGAGACCCCCGCTGGCTGTGACCAGTATGTCTGCGGTGTTTATTATAATGCTGTGTCCCTGCCTCTCTGATGCATCCTCATTCCTTTTCTTTCGATAGTATTACACACGATTTTCAACCCAAATTTTAGTATATTTTTGCACTTTTAAAAATAACAATTGCTGATCCTTTGGAAGGTGGAACACTGAAATTCAGTCCCTCCCACCCTCTTCCATGGCATTTGTTGGCTCAATAAAGGAAATATGAGGGAAACCTACATCTCCTGGGTTTTCCATGCTTTGTGCCTTATCCTCCCTTCCCCATAAGTAATTATCCCGGGAGTGCAGCTGCCTTGCAAAAGGAAGAGCACATTTTGGTCGAGGCAGCCCGCCAGGAGGCGTATGGGGTCAGATTGTAAGCTGTGATCTTTTTCTAATAGTCCTAGCAACTTTCTGTTTGATGGTAATATTCAGACCATCTTTGGATCATGCAGTACTTCAAGGACATACGGGACTGTGGCTGCTGTAACTTAATCATTGAAATGCTTTCAAATTGCATTTATTCCAGGAGGCTGTGGGGCAATGTATGAAATCCAAATCGAGTCAGAAGAATTTAAGGAGAAGAGAACTGTCCAGCAGCACAGGATGGTGAATCAGGTCAGTAGAAGCAGCCGCGCTCCTTTGTCACTGGTCTCCAGCGTCCGAAAGGGCCTGCCGAGTGGAGATGGTATTTCACCATCTAGGAAAGAATAATGCAATACCACGGTCACACGAACAGGCCGCGGGACCCGAGGAAGATGTAATCCGGAGCAATCTGGAATCAGATTGTGGCAAATAGGAATTTTCTTCACAATTGAAAACAAGTCACCCAATAGTTATTCTGCATTTCCTTAAATAATTCTACCCATGTTTAGTGTTATTGGTACATATTGAATAGTGTTTGTAAACATAGGAATACTAAAGATGGATGTTTTTGTAGAGTTGAAGATTTTTTTTAGCCTCTCTTTAGGACTTCTTTACGGATGGGTAAATTGAGGCACAACATGATTGAGAATTGTTCCAGCTGCTCCAGACCCAGTGACTGGGCATTAGGAGGCTGGAACATCAGATTTAACCAGACTGAGGCCCAGTTTATTCATTATCCAGGCTTATTTTACATGGAGTTTGTACCAGCCTTGACTCTTGGGCCTGTGTCTATAAACTCGCTCCCTCAGCAGGTGTATTTGACATCATTCTGGAGTGTCTTGCACACTGTGAACTAATTTAACTTTTGTAAAGCACAGCTCTGGTCATGAGATTCCCTCTGTGGCCGCTCTGCTGTTTGAGTTCAGTCCCAGACTGCTGTTCTGGGCCTTTCCCCACCCTTATGCTCACAACCCCCCTACTCCGGCCTCTGCCCTGGGGTCTCTCTGTGCATTTGGACCTTTGCCCAGATCCGACCTCCTGCCTGGGTTCCCTTCCTCCCCTCTCCCACCCAGCCCAAATGCTGCCTCCCCTCCCTGCCTGGCAGGAAATGAATGCCCTCCATCTTCTGACTCCAGTGTTTTCTGCCTTGGGTCCTGGCTACTTACAACCCCGCCATCTGTCCTTTGGCCCTGTCAGCCCTTTGTGGGCTGGTTCCCTTCTGGATCCATCTTTGGATTCCTCCTGGAGTCAGCCCTTCACGTGGATGGGACCACCTACGGCCCTGAGGCGTGCTGGTGGTCGGCCTGGGCAGTCTGGGGTGGAACAGCAACCACGTCGCTCTCCAGAAGCCCTTCCAGCCCCATGTGATCTCAGGGGTTGGAACCAAGGTGGAAGATAAGACAAGGAAGACCTGACTGTCCCAAATCCTCCCCAACCAGTAGAACTTTGGGTTTTGTTCTCAAAACTACTCAGGCCGCCTAGTGCAACTGGACTCCCAGGGGTGCAGGTAATTTGACCACATCCCTTGGCCTGAAGCCACAGTTACAAGTGGTGAAGGATGCAGGGTCTGGAGTTGGACTGCCTACGTTTCAAATCCAGGCTCTGCTACTTTCTAGCTGGGCAACCTGGGCAAGTTAACTCAACCTCCCTGTGCCTCAATTTCCTAATCTGTTACTGGGGAGACGAACAGGACTTGCCTCACAGGGGTGTTTTGAGGATGAGTGAGAAAGTACACGCCAAGCACTGAGAGCAGTGCTTGACACACAGTAGGCCCTCAGGAAATGTCAGCTGCTGTCACCATTTCCATCACCATCTTGTCATCTACAAAACTGGGTGGAAACTGCACCAAGTCCAGAGGCAAGGGCAGCGATTCCCGTGGTTTGGGGGAGTCACTGGCATCATCTGGGGCTCAGGGTTTCCTCTGGGCCCCTACAGAACTTGTCCTTCCCCCAGCACCATCCGAGCAGGAGAGCCCCGCTCACTTGTCTGTCGTCACCCTAGAAAGCGGACCCCATGCAGGTGGACCTGGTCTATTTTGTGCACTGCCATGTCGCCCACACCTCACAAAGGACCTGGCACCTGAAGGAGCTCAGGCATGGTTTGTGGAGTCTGCAGACAGTACGGAGAGCTGGCCTGGGCCTGGTTACTGGCTCACAGAGAAATGGAATGTTTGGTGCCTGACAGGCGTTCCCTTTCAGAGAATTCACGTCCTGGCATCGGTGCACTTGAACCTGGAGCAGCTCCGGCCCGGGTCACCACAGCAGCCGCCTGGCCCGGCCGAGCACTGCTTGTGATGGAGGAGGTGATGCAGATCACAGCCAGGCACCCACAGCCACTGGAGCAGGTTGGCAGGGAAGGAAGGGCGATCCCAGAACCTGACTTTCAGCTGGAGCAGAGGCCACAGCCACAGCAAGCTGTTGGTCTGTAATGCGTGTGTGCCAATGTGCTGATATGGTCATGGGCATTTCAGATGACTGTGTGCGGGTGTTGGCTGGGATAAGTCATGTGGGAGGAGTGAAACAAAACGTCTTTGAGAGCAAGTCTATTGGCCTGTAGGGGTCTGAGCTAGACCTGGAGTTAGTTGTGCATCGTTCAGAGGTGCTGGGAATCAAGACTCTGACAGGCACCCCGTAGGAGGAGGCAGGGCTGAAAGGGGAGGGGAGGAGAAGGCATCCTCAGCTCCATGGCTGCTGAGTAAGTGGTTTCTTCCACAGTGCGTGAGAGTGGGGGGCGGTGCCCCGTCCACATGCACTGGGTGTCCAGGCTGTTGGAGGGGCCTGGTGGTCCTGGGCCAGGTGAAACTTTCCTCGTTGATGGTGTTGAATCACCCTAGTAGGACCAAGACTGTCAGGCCCAACAGGCCCTGAAAAGGCCACCTGGCCCATCTGATGCTGGAATCTGCTTCTCATCAGACAGTCCCTGCCTGATTCCCCCAGGACTGGGTGCCCTGCGTCACAACTCACAGCTGCTCCGCCCTCAAGAGTGAACTCGCCATTTCCCTGGGACCCCTGCCGACTTGTGGCTCAGCCTCTCCCAGCTCTCTGTTCAGCAGCCTTCTCTTCTGAAAGAGTCGCTGGCATTTGCTTTGGGCCAGGCTCAGGGAGTCCAGGATGACAAATTTTCTTTCCCTCCCAGGAGCCCCTCCTCTACCCATCCTATTCCCACCCTGGAGAGCAGCCATAGGGAGAAGAGTGAGCACCAGCTCCCCCTTTGTTTTTTATGGTTTTTTTTTTGAGGAAGATTGGCCCTAAGCTAACATCCATGCCCATCTTCCTCTACTTTGTATGTGGGATGTCTGCTACAGCATGGCTTGATGAGTGGTGTGTAGGTCCATGCCCAGGATCCAAACCAGTGAACCCTGAGCCACCCAAGCAAAGCAGAGTGTGTGAACTTAATCACTACACCCCCAAGCTGGCCCCCTAGTTCCCTTTTTTGTGTTGGATGGAGCTGGTTTCATCTTGGCTCTTGGCTTCCCAGTGGGATCTGAGCCTCAGTTTCCTCGTTGGCACATTGCCTGAGGTATTAGCCACATGAGTCCAGCCTCATGCTGGCACATGGAAGGCATCCGGTGCACAGCAGTTGCCCTCTCTCCTTCAGTCTGGCCTCTTTCCTCTCTGTTGCCCATCACCCTCCCCTAAGAGTGCCTCTGCCCGTGTCCCCCCTGCTGAGAGCCCCTCAGTGCACCCCACGGTGTCCCTTCCCACCTCCTAGCCTGTGATTTCCGATCCTCTGTGAGGTCTGCCTCCATCTTCCCTGCTTGCACCTGACTCAAGGCCAGGCTTTTCTTGGTAAATTGCGGCAGGTTCCCAGCCTTCCCTCGCCTTGCTCTCCCGGGCCCAGCGCCCTGTCTGTCTCCAGCTCTTCCACTCCTGGCTGTCCAGCTCCTGGTCCGCCCCCTCCATGAACGGACAGTGCAGTCGCAAATGCTCCCTCCTGTGAACACCCACAGCCGTACCGAGCTGGCTTGTGGTCTGGCAGCATCCATCACTGTCTGCACTGAGTGCATTTTTTGTGGATTTGTGTTATTCTCCCACCTCTCTCATCATTTTCCTATGACTTTTTCATCTGTGTCCCCAGCGCCCAGCATGATACTGTGGGCTAAAAAACATTTACCCAAGCTACATCTTATAAACTGTGAGACTATGGCCAAGTCACTTTCCTACCAGGCCTCAGTTTCCTCAGCTGTGAAGTGGCCTAGGTGATGTCTAAGGCCCTCTATAGCTGTAAGATACAGTGAGCCGTGTTGGGGAGCCCTCTGAGGGTGGCAGGAGAGCTGGGAGAAGGCATTGGGAAGGGTAAATGTGCAGGGCGTAAGGGGTCAAGGCCTGTCATGCAAAGGTGTGGCTGGGCCCTCACCTGGTCATGGAAGCTTTAAGGAGGGGAGGCTGGTTGTGGCCCAGGGACAGCCTCTAGGGAGCATTCCAGACCTGTAGGAAGCAGAGTGCATGTGGCCCAGGGGCTGTGTGCCCTTCCCCCAGCAAAGACATGAGGCCTTTTCCAGAGGCATTTCTGCTTGTCTGCTGCGTTGAAGGGACTTGTCGGTGAAAATGTCAATGGTCGGGCAGCTCATTGGCTCCCAACACAACAGCAGCTCTGGCATAGGCCTAGACAGGAACCCCAGGGAAACCAAGGATGGCCAGGACATCAGGATACCTGGGTTCAGGTCCTGATTCTGCTACTCACTTGCTTGCTGACTAGGGATAAGCTCTATTTCTGTTTATCAAATAAGGAGACAGGACTAGATTGTTTCTAAGGATCCTTCTGACTCTACAAAACTAACCACATGAGTTAGGGTTCTTTTTGTTACACGTGACAGATACCAAACTAAAACTAGCATAAGTAAACAAAGGGAATTAGTTGGCCCTTTAATGAAATATCTGGTTTCTGGCAGATCTAGATTCAGGGTCTTAGGTATATTTGAATATGCTTGCTCTCTTTCATATTCTCTCTCTGAGCTTTCAGCTTCTCTGTGTGTTGGCCTCATTTCCTCCTGCTGGAGATGGGCTTTCTCTTCTTGGTGGAGAACATGGCCCCCAGCCACCTCAACTGCCAGTATTCCAGTAGAGTGAACCAGGAGACATGGATCCTCACTGGAAAATCCCAGGGGAGATTCTGATTGGCCCAGTGTGTGTCATGTGCTATCCCTGGACCAATCAGGCTTGGGCAGGGGCACGTAGCTACCTCAATACCAGGCTAATTGGCAGTTCCACCAGAAGTACACAGAGTGGAAAAGAGCTGTTCCCCAGGAGAAGGGAGATTCCTGGACAGACTGGAGAAAAAGCATGCACCCCACTATGATGACGAGGCTCCTGCCTAGTGTAAAAGGACCTGGACTCCTCTGCACTGATGATAAACTCCAGTGGGCTAAGCCTCCCTCAGGTCCTGCTGTTCTCCTGGCACTGCAGGGAAATAAATATCGATTTGACTGTGGCTCGTTCAGATTTGTGCCCTGACATTGTTTGTAACCTTAAACAAATTTCCTAATTACTTTGACTTTATTTCCTGATCTAAAGTAAAATTGGGAATTTGTGCTAATTGGTGTGGTTTTAAAGAACACTTGTTCATTGCTTGAAATAAAAAAAAAAAAAAACCACAGGAAACAACCTAAAAGTTCATCATTAGGGGACGGGCTGGAAAGTTATGATCCATCTAGATAATGGAAAACTATGCTGATGCCGACAAGAACGAGGGTGCTCTTCATGCCTGTGGTGGGAAGCTCTCCCTCCCATGGTTGGGGGAAAGCAAAGTGTAGAACACTGTGTTTGAAATGCTAACCTTGCTGTTTTTAAAAGGTAATGGGGTAGAAGATATATTCATATTAGCTTGAATATGCATTTTTAAATCCTTACAAAGACACACAAGGAGCTAACAACAGTTCTCTCTTTGGGGGTGAAGGTGGAAACTGGGGGGTGGAGGACAGACGTGGGAGGGAGACTTCACTGTAGGCCTTTTTAAAGCTTTTGATTTCTGAGCCAGGTTAGATACTGATTCAAAAAAATAAAACATTGTTGTCCAAAAAAAGGAAAAACTGCTAAAAGAAAGTGTGTGCAGAGTCTCTTACAGATACAGAGCTATATAAAAATACTCTCATTGAGACTTATTGTAATCAATGTCAGATACAAAATAAATGATGATGCTCTTTTACTTACTTAGGCACTTAAAGAAGAAATCAAAGGAATGCATGGATTGAGGATATTTACCTCCGTCCCCAAACACTGACCACGCCCCGGCTGCATAGATGCTGCTGCTTAAAACCTTGGATGAACTTGACCATTCTTTCCTAGGCATTTGCCAAAAAAGTTATCTATTTTGTTCATAGACATTTCCGTATTATAATTATAGAAGAATTTGTTATCTATTTAGATGTTAATTAATGGCAACAGACAACTGAAGCTTTTAAAGAGTCATTAGTCATGCTTCTATTTCCTTTATTTCAAAAGCAATGTCCTTTTGTCCAAAGTGGTCTCGTTTTTGGACAGTTCTGTCCTGATGCAACAGATGCAGGACAGAGTGCCAGCTCCTTTTGTCCTGTCAAGACTCTTTTTTGTTTTTCCTCCCTGAAACTGCTCAGGCCCCTTAATCTTACCAAAAAGGTAAGAAAAGAAAAGATCCTTGGATTTTACTGTTTCCTTAGTTTACCACTGTCTTTCCCTCCCCTCCATAAGCCTGAACTTGGATGCTCAGTTTTTTGCTCCCTGGAGTGGACTCTGAGGATCTGGGGCTGCCATGATCAGGATCTTCTTCCCGTGTCTGAAAATTCCCCACCCTTTGCATCTTGGTGGGAGGTGGAGCCTGCCTCCCCGACAGAAGCTGAAAAGGCTTGCTTTCCTAGCTCCCTTGCAAATAAGGCACAGGCCAAGCTAGACTCAGGCAATCAGACAGAACTATGCTGCACTTTGAATTGGGAGCAAGTGACGCCAAGAAGCAAGGGCAGTGGTGCATCCACCTGGCAGCCGTGGCACTGATGTCCGGTGTTCTGGGTGGTGGCAGCAGCAGAGTCAGTGGCCCCTCCTACCTCCCTAAGAAATAAGAATATGTGGGTAAAACAACCTTGAGCCCCAGAGTTTTCGAGCAGCGCAAGTTTTACATGTTCTGTTCACGTACTGTGTCCCCATTTTTTGGTTTAAAAATATTCTGTATCTCTATGGTGGGGTGAAGGGCTTGGTGTCCTGCCAGGGCAAAGCTGCCTTTTACGTGGAATAGAGTCGCTCAGTTGTGTCAGAGCTGAGTAGACAGGATAAAACGAACTCCTGAGGGCCTGAGACATCTGTGAAAGCTAGACACCCCCCAGAGGCCAGCTTTTAGGTGGTGCAGTGAGGAAACACCTAAGACTGGAGTTCCTGAAGCCAGAAGGCAGCGGTCAGCGAGAACAGAGAGACGACAGAATTATACGTATGTTGATTGCACGAATGGAGTCTAATTGTCCTCCTCTTTAAGGTGAACTGCACCTAGTCACCTGCTTCTACAGGACAGAATAAGGTGGAAGTGACAATACACAGCCTCAGAACTAGGTCATAAAAGGCACTGTGGCCTCCTTCTTGATTTCTCTTGGATTCCTGGCTCGAGGAGAGGGTAGCTGCCATGTTGTGAGGACACTCAAGCAGTCTGTGGAGAAGCCCAGGGGAGCACCCGAGGCCTCTTACCAACAGGCAAGGAAACAGGCCTGCCAAACGCCAGCAGGGAACTGAGCCTTCTGTCAGGACGAGAGCCATGTGGGTGAGCCATCTTGGAAGTGGATCCTTCCAAGTCACAGTCACAATCAAGCCTTCAGAAAACTGTAGCCCCAGCTGATATCTTGACTGCAACCCAAGCCAGAACCACCCAGCTAAGCTACTCCCCAATTCCTGACCAACAGAAACCGTGAGATAATAAATGTTGGTTCTTTTAAGCCACTAAAGTTTTGCGGTCAATTTTTATGCAGCAACAGATTAACTGATACACTTGTGCATTACCGAGAAGACACGGGGACATTTCACAGATTGAAGGAAGGGTTAAAGAGCCAAACTTCAGAAAGGACAGGGGTATCTAAATGTCATCGACACCACCCAGTCCTCTTGGCATCTCCTGTCTGCCTCTCTCTGCAGATTAGCTTTATTATCTCTCACTCTGGATTGGCTTCCACCACACAGCAGTGTCCATACTGCCGGTAGCTCTCAATTTTTATATCTTAATGTCTAGGCCATAAGAAGGGCAAATTTTCCCTCCAAGTTCTGGTTCAAAGAATGCCAAGGAAGTCCTCTGATCAGCCCCTCTTGGATCAGGAGCCACCCTGGACTAATTAGCTGGAGTCCAGGAGTCGTGTCCACTGCAGCCTCTCTCTGGACTCTGGTTTGGGGTGGAGGGAGGAATAGTTGCCAAAAGAAGTAGGGGTTCTGTTCTGCAAAGAAGCTGGGACAAAATGTGCCCTCGACTGGAGGAAAAGGTGCCCTCGCAGGCGTCCTAGGAGTCTGGGGTCACCAGAGAAACTCAGCATCTCCCCTCTGCTTCACCCCACCCACACCCCAGGGGACTCGTCAGGCCCAGTGAAATGTGTCAATCCTACCACTTCCACGTGTCTGCTCCCAAATCTGGCAACAAGAACTTTTTTAAGTAGCACACACACACCCTGCCCCTGGCCCTGCAGCTGTTCTCAGGGTTTCCTTTTAGTTGGTTAAAAGAAGAGAAAAAATTGTTTGATCTTAGTGTCCAAAGTGTAACATTGCATCTGATACAGCCAACTCCTAGCTTTTTGATTAAGTGCTACTTGTGGAAACTGCTGAATTAGATGACACCTTTTCTGAGCCAAGTGTCCTTTTAAGAACAGTGTAGAGTTTTCCAGGGGAAAATCCAAGGTGTCCCGAGGTCGGTGCCTGCTGACCAGACAGGTCAATCTAAAGGACTCTGCCCAGTCCACAGCCCTCCCTGGCCCGTATTGTTCCATGGGTGCCGTAGTGTCCCTCTCCCCCTGATGAGACCACTCAACGAGCAGTCATGTGACAGGCTGGCTTCCAACCTGGGGAAGGAATCTGGGGCCACAAATCCCCACCCAGACACCAGCAGTGGCAAGGAGTCACTGGATCTAATTCCCTTTCTTGGGAATCCAAACTGGAAAGGGTGAGTAAATGACCTACGGACAGCTAATGGCTGGTGCAAAGCTCTGGGCAAGCAAACGCCGGCGTTCACGTCGGGACACACGGGCAGATTGATCAAGGAGAAGCGAAAGTTGAAAACCGCCCGGGAGATGTCATGACGGGCATTGACTATATAATAAACAAGAGAGTAATTCTCAATCTGGCTGCAAATTAGAACTAGCTGCAGTATTTAAAAATGCCCATACCTGGGTCCCTCCTGGGTCTAAGAGGCCGGCTGGTGAGCGGCAGGGAGAGTGGACCTAGAGACCAGCCAGTCAAGTTAAAAGGTAGACTCGAAGTGAACCGCCCAGACCCCTTAGAGCCGCAGGAGTCAGGACGCCCTCCCCCTAGTTCCGCTATGCTGTCCCCAGCGCTCTCTCCGGCCAGCCCATCCCCTCTTCCCTCCAGGGAGCTGCAGCACGTCGTCGGTTCCTTTGCCATCTCCCCTCCATGCCCCATGCGTCTGGGGGTGCCGACCCCACGCCTCTCATTCCGCAGGGTAAAGGGCGGGAGAGCGCCGATGCAACCAGAGCCGGGCGCAGGCCCCCGACCTAACCTGGGCGAACCGGGCCGGCCTGCAGGGTCCGCGACTGACCCAGCCAGGCCCCTGCCAGCGGGACCGTTTCCCCGGGAGCGCCGTCCGGTTCCCGCGCGGCCTGGAGCCCTGCTTCCCGCCGCCGCTCACCGCGATCCTCGCCTGCGCTTCCCCCAGACGACTCTAGGAAAGGTCGGCCTCCGTCAGAAACCCGCGGCTTGAGTCAGCAGAGTTGGCTGTCTTACGCGCAACCTAAAGAACCCTCCAAGCCACACCGCGCGCATCTTCCAAGTCTCCTCCACTGGGACCCGCTGGAGTGCCGACCGAGCCGACTTCTGACATCTTTTGTATTTGCGTTTGCTCCGATAATGCTGGTGGGATTAATTCTATCGTTCGGCACGTCATTCCAGGGAATTGATCTCATTTCTTAGGTTGTAGTAAGATACCCCCTCACTGTGAATTTAAAAGAACATTTACGCAATTTAATTTTTTTTTTTTTAAGAAAAATACGTTTATTAGAGAGGCAGATAAGAGGGTTCAGCTAAAAGATGCCAAAGGTTGTTTTCTTTTTAGAATAAGAATAAAAAGAAACAGTCGTGTTGACCTTTATTCAAACACAATTTATTCAGAACCTAAGTGCCTATAATGGTCTCGTTTGCAGCATCAAGGGGGCCACTGAGCCGGGAGGGGAAGAGCCTTGGGCGGCAGTTATACAAACAAAAAGATCTCCAGCGAGCAGAACCACCAGTTAAACAAACGGGTAAACGGGTAAAAAGTTAAAACAACTGAAGTTTAAGCAATCACTTTAGTTTTTTTTAAAAAAACTGTTTTTATCACAGTTTCAGATTTACAGAAATATTGAGAAGATTGTACAGAGTTCCCCTATACCCCACACCCAGTATCCCTTATTATTAACAGCTTACAGGAGAATGGTACATTTGTTACAATTACTGAACCAATATTGATACATTATTACACATCAAAGCCCATAGTTTATTCAAATTCCCTTAATTTTTCCGTAATGTCCTTTTCCAGGCATCGGCTCCAAGACACCACATTACAATTAGTTCTCATGCTTCCTTAGGCTCCTCCTGGCCATGACAGTTTCTCAGAATTTCCCTATTTTTGATGACCCTTTAGTTTTTAAATAGCCGTACATACAAATATTTTCCGTGGGAGGAATTATAGATGTATTTGACAGAAAGCAATTTTAAAAACAAAAACAAAACCACAAAAGAAGAAAGTCACAATCCAGTCGACCAACTGAAAGTTACTCTAATCTAAACATTCTGGCAAACATTAATTAATCGTGTCTTAGACACCACACCAAAAAAGTGTGCTGGCATTATTAAGAATAAAACCACTGCCTTGGGTGATTGACGTCAGGAAGTAGCAGCTTCGCCCAAACAGGATGGGTTTAAAGGAGGACATTGTCTGGGGGGAGGTGCGGTGGACTTATAAACAAGGTCAGGGAGGAGAGGCTTGTACACTCACATTATTCACCTGGAAGTGTCTCTCTGAAATAAAGAAGGCAAACTTTATAAACAAGCTAACATTTTCCTTCTTTTACTTAACAGGGACCTACTGGAAGAAAACAAAGACTACTTTGGGTGGAAATGGAAATTCCTGATGCTTTGGAAATTATTTCAATACTGTTTCTAACCCTTCAAGCATTGACAAAAGGAACCGAAACTACGAAATGTCTTGAACTGTGTTTAGTCAATGTCCCTGTCTTCATCTGTTCTCGGCACCGAGGCATGCAACTTAAAATAATGATCATAAATCTATGCACAGGGCACCCCCTCCCCCCGCTCTATTCAAACCAGTTGAGCTATTTTCTGAATCAAATTTGCACAACTCTAAAGAAAAAAAAAACTTCAAAGAACAGGATGTTTTTCAAGGCAGGCTTTTTAGAAGCTAATGTGGACTTGCCCAGTTTGGCTTTTTCAGGGTTTAGATGGCCTTCTTTGTGGTTAACAGTTTGACATGGAGCTCATCATCTGATATAGGAAAGTCAGGTTCCAGTATCTTCAGTCTCCCATTCGTTTGGTTAAATGCCTAAAGGTGGTAATCCGCCGGCACTGAAGTGGAGGCAGGCATTTACGGCTCATTAAAACAAATCCCCATGGTTTAAGGGTCAGCTGATTTTCTTGCTACAATACTTAAAAAGCAGAACTGGAACAATTCCCCTGACGAGGTCTGCCTCAAGATAAGCAGCTTTATCAATATTGTGTCAGTAAAGGCATAATAATTCAAAAGAAATTTTAATTACAAAATTTTAAAAATCATACAGTTGTAAGTCAGGCTGTCATTAAGTCAAGTCCACTAGGTTTCACTTGCTAGCCCTTACCGAATATGAGCTAACACACTGCTGGAACCTCGAAACACGGGCCATGCAGAGCAAGGAGCGTGAGTCCCTCCTGCCATTTTCGGATCTTCTGATCTGAGCTTATGAAATGAGCCCATAATGTGGAGGCAAGAAGCTAATCTTCCTGTCTAAAAGTAGGAAGGATATGAATAAACATTTTTTCAAAGCAAAAACAAGGGACATCTCAACCTGACACCTTCCTTCTAACCCATTTATAGCTGGTTCTCTGTGATCTGTGGGTAGATCTCATTCCTGAGCAGAATTAAACACTGGATTTGGTAGCTGTCCATGGACGTGACTAGTTTCACTATCCATTCTCTGCTTCCCTGCCAATTTAAGAATGCAGATCCTATGGGGCCAGCTTTTTAAAGATGGTGAGAAAATTTTATTTTATTCTGGCTAAAGTTAATCATACTATTTTCTAAAGTGAGCCTTTACATTTATTGCCTTTAAAAAATTCCAGTGAGCTTCAAACTGAGATTTTAAAGGTGTCAATGATTTAAAAATCTACCATTTGAAAAGCAGTCTGCTGAATTCTGGGTCTGTGTGTGAATGTAGTTACTGCCACACTGCATTCCGGGTATAGCCCAGCCCAGGGGAGTGTGGGCTGAATACAGCTCCTCTTGCCACAAAACCTCCAACAGAAACAGAACCAAGGCGGCTGAAAAGGAGACCTGCACTGCTTGCATATAAGGATGTCTATACAGCATTAGAACATCTGATCTACTGTGTCAATTGGGTGGCGGGAAGAGCAATTGGTGTCATATGTCAAATCAACAAGTTAACTGCCCAAACTTTTCCGCACTTCAATTGGTTATTTAGGATCAAATAGACATGACAAGATAGTCATGATGAAGTAACCACGGTCTTAACCCTATTCAAGG